AGAGAGAGAGAAAGAGAAAGAAGAAAGAAAGAAAGAAAGAAAGAAAGAAAGAAAGAAAGAAAGAAAGAAAGAAAGAAAGAAGAAAGAAAGAAGAAAGAAAGAAAGAAGAAAGAAAGAAAGAAAGAAAGAAAGAAAGAAAGAAAGAAAGAAAGAAAGAAAGAAAGAAGGAAAGAAAGAAAACATTTCTGAACTCTAAATGTGAGGAAATTCTGTTGCTTAGAACAGAAGGGCCTTACTTTCTCAGAAAACAAGGAACTGGTGGAATAAAAATTGTTTATAGAGGATAGAAAAAATTTAAAGTAAGAGTTATAGAGGCTTAAGTAACCAAGGGATGGAAGACTAATGAAGCCCAAAAGTGAAAATAGAGGAAACTTAGAAGAAACCAATGAAAGCTTCAAACAGCAGAAAGCTGATTGGATCGATATAACACCAGGGGCGTGACCTATTTGATGTCAAGTATATAATATGTGAACCCCTCCTTCCTGGTTTGTCATCTTTACACAGCCATGTGCAATGTTCCTCTTTGAGCTTGCAGGAGAACTTAGCCCAGAAAACACAGAAGGAAAGAGCACTGAGATGGCAGGAGAGGTCTTTGACAGGAAAATTCTCTATCTGGTTCCACAAATTGGCAAGACACAAAATTACTTCTACTAGCAGAAAACAAATAAGGAACAACTTTCTTATTTTTCTTTGGACACTTCTATGAAAAAATACAGTGTGACATTTTCCACTGCTTGGAGCCCTCTCTATACCTTCAAAAAGTATTAGTGTTGATACAGTAAATGGCATATCCTGGTAGAAATAAGCTCTTTTAGCACAATATGTATGCCCAAATCCCTGTCATGCCTAAGGAGACAGTACTAACCTGAGTCATATATAAGGAGAAACTGGAGCAAAAACAATGAAGACAGTAGGACTGGAAACATGAGTTGAGTCTGAAAGAGAACAAAAGAAGGTAAGTCCAAAGCTAGCTGGGAGTAGGACTGAACACCAGTTCCAGGGAACCTGGAGGTAGCCGTGAAGTGAGATATCGTTCCTGTAAGTCAGAGCTGGGGAAATAAACCAAAGTAACTGGGAAGAAAGCTGGAAGAAAAGTGCCACTGGGGAGAATTATCAGTAGATGCTAAAATTACTGGGTAAAATGTGGTTCCAGAATAGGATAATTGGCACAGTGTAAAGTATCCCTCCATAAATTGTTTACTGTTTGTAAGTGAAAAATGTACCTTTTCACTGGAAAGTTCTCATAAGTGGTAACAACGTTACCAAGTGTTTAAAGTTAGCACCATTATGGTGGGACAGATTTACAAGGATGTGATGTATCTGATATTGATGTGATACAATGTAAAGTATTCATATCACCCATGAAGTGCTCTTGCCAAAATGGTTCAGCCTAAGCCTCATCAGACATAGTTTTTATGGAAATGCAAAGGACAGCAGAGTAAATACAATGACATTATAGGAAAAACCCAGACAAATCCAAAGTGTAAGACACTCTGTAAGAGGATACACCTGGACCTTACAAAATATTAGTAATAGTGATGGCAATCCATTGGTAGATCAAAAGGAGTGTTTAACCTCTTAATGCTGTAGAACATACAAAGAACTAATGAACAAGTTAGAACATGGATAACTAAAGAAGAAACTCCAGACAGACTCTTAGACCAATTGCTTAATGAGAAAAAAAAAAAAAAATGGAGATTAAGACCAGTGCCTCAGCCAGGCAGTGGGGCTCACACCTGTAATCCCAGCACTTTGGGAGGCTGAGGTGGGAGGATTGCTTGAACCCAGGAGTTTGAGATCAGCCTGGATTTAGAGACAAACCCTGCCCCTATAATAAAAAAAAAATACAGAAATTAGCTGGACATGGTGGCACACACCTCTAGTCCTAGCTATTCTGAGAGGATTGTTGGATCCCAGGAAGTTGAGGCTGTAGTGAGCTGTGATTGAGCCACTGCACTCCAGCCTGTAGGTAGCATTTATAAAATAGAATTAAGCATAAGTTAACTAAACAATTAAAGACATAAGTTTTTATTCAGCATAAGAATTCATTCATTTTCAATTCATCTTTTTGTTGTCCTTATAAAATCTCACATAAAAGACAATCCTTCAAATATTCTTGTACCTTATCCCTCCCCCAAAAACGTGGTAGGTCCCAATTCATTCCAGTAGACAAGATTCTGAGGCTCAGAGAGAGCAGCTTACAGAAAAATCTATTAATTCAATGTAATTGGCCCATGTATTCTGCATCAGCTAGCCACTGTAGGCAAACCTCAAGTCCCAGGTGCCTTTTGATGAAATAACTCAGAACTGCTCCCTCAAATGAGCACAATTTTGACTTCAATGCTTTATTAACAAAAATTTAAAATATACGGAAAAGTTAAAAGAATACTTCAGAGAATACCTGTGTACCCTCCTTCAGGAGTTCAAGAATTGTTAACATTTTGCCAAATTTGATTTAGATACTAATATTGGAAAATTCCCTTCCATAAGCATAGTATAATTTTTATATCTAAGAAAGTAAGACTAATTCTCTAGTATCATATAATCTCCAATGAATATTTTTTCCAACTGACACAACTAATATATTTATAGGTTTCCCCCCTAGAATCAGATTCTAATCAAGACTTATTCAATGCATTCTTTATGTGTGAATTGATGTCTTTCATTTCTTTACTCTGGATTTGTGTTTTCACTTCTGGTTTACTGTCTTTTCATTTAGAAATCTTCATGAAACTGACATTTTGAAAAATCCAGGTAAGCTGTGCTGTCCATATGGAGGGAGAAGGCGTGTCTGCATGGAGGCACCAGGGCTTTGGTAACCACAACAAGCAAGGCCCCCATAGCCACCTGTGGCTGAGAGTGAGCAGTGTCTACTCTCAACATGGGGGGTCTATCGTCATAAGGCCCAGAACAAAGAGATTTCTTTGGGGGGGGTCACCTATAAACAGTCCAGTTCACTCCTATAATCATAGAAAGGGTGATAAACCCATAAAATTGACCGAGATTGGATCTGCAGTCAACTCAGCAAGTGGATGCCAAGTTAGTTTCAAGTGCTTTAGAAAATTAAGGAAGGTTTGGGTTGAAGATGGTGGCCTGAGCATCTCTGTTTTCCCATTTGCTTCCAGAAATCCCATTGAAATAACAAAACAGACAGACAGAGGAGATCAATAGGAAGCCCAGGGAGAACAGAAAGGCAGGACCATAGTCTAGAGCTCTGAGGAATTTGTGTAGTTTAGAGAGCAGATGGGATTTTAGCGAGTGTCAACCCGAGTGGAGAGAGCTGTTACTTGGAAGAAACACAGAAGGCTGCTGTAAAGATGTAGCAGCAAATCTGTCCGGGAGACCCCATGCCAGCTTCAAGTTCAGAGCCTGTAAGCGTTGGGAGCAAGAACGGACTGTGGAGCAATCATCAAGGACTGCAGTGACAGGAACAGGGTATGCAAAAGCTGGCCCAGTGGATTCCATCCATATTTAGAACGTGACCAGCAGCCATACTCTTTACCACTGAGTAGCAAGTGAAGAGCTGCTGTCTGCAGAGGTGGAAGATTTGCCTAAAAAAGTCTGGGGCTGCAAGTTTGTAATTGACATCTCCAAGACTGGGAGCGGTGAACTGAGGGAATGACAGCATGCCTGCCAGCTCTGTGTATGGACACCCTAAAGACAGAACTGCCCGTATCCTCTATCCACAGGGCTCAAAGGCGGTCCTCACAGTCTGGGGAGAGAGCTGCTGGGGAAATGAAATTTCATAACAGCTGAAAACAGCCACACATACATCATTTGTGTTCACAGATACAAATATTAGCAAACGTAAACTAATGATTACTAAACTATCAGAAAAAACCGTCATTGCCTGAGATAAGAATCAAGGCTAACAAACAGAAAAAAAAAATGGATCCCAGCTAAACAGACAATTCAGGAAACAGATAATTTTAAAAAGAAAACCCAATAACTTTTAATCAAAATGTCATAAGAGATTTGAGAAAATTTTATGTCCTTAAAAGAGAAATGCGTTGCCATAAAAAAAGGAATAATTAGAAGCACTAAAACACATGATGACTGATCCTAAAAGAATTCAATATAAGGGTCAGAGGATAAAATCAAAGACAACTTCCAAAACAGAACTGTGAAAAAAAAAAGAAAAAGGTAGGAGATAAAAACAGTTGATACAGAAGGTCTAACACTGACAAATAGAACTTCTAGAAAGGAGATTACAGAAAATAGGGTGGAAATTTAAAAAAATACATGAGAAAAATATTCCTCAGGCTGAAGAGAGATAAGTATTTAGATTGAAACTGCCTAAGTAGTGTCAACTGGGAAAAAATGACAAAATATCCATACCCATCTCCATCCTGATAACAGTTCAGAATGGCAAGAATAAAGACAAGTTTCTAAATGCTTCTAGAAATGAGAACATATAACATAGGCGTGCGCACACACACACACACACACACACGCACGCACACACACGAGGCATTCCACAAAAGAAGATCACCTTGGTCTCAGATTTCTTAACAGTTAGAAGACAGGAACAATGTTTTTTAGTAATTCTGATGAAAATCATTTTGATATTTATGACCCAATAATTAAATAAACTATCAATCAAATGTAAATGCAAAACAAAGATGTTTTCTAACATGCAGGTTCTCAGAAAAGTTTATCTTCCACTTATACTTTCTGGAAAACAATAATAAGATGCTTATGTACTTCAGAGGAGAAAGAAGACTTTGAAAGCAGCAGACAAGGTATTCAAGAAACAGCAGAAGTGACCAGAGAATAATGAGAAGAAACCTTGGCAAACAGCAGCAAAGTGAGCCAAATTGGGACAGAAAATCTGTTTTCCAAAACTTCTGATGTCTTTCTTCCTCCCTTTCTTCATTTTTTTCCCTTTCCTTTTTTTTTCCTTTCTTCCTTTTTCTAGTATGGCTATGGAGTCTTCTTTTTATATCTTTTTTTTTTTTTTTTGAGGGGCTTGGGGCTAGTGGAAGGGACAATATGCACCATAAGAACTCTAGATTTCCAAACGTAATATTACTTTTACATAGTGGATGTTTACTACATTTACATTTTTCAACCTTCTGTCTTGACACTGTAATTAACGTTTACAGGTTTATTCAAAAACTGAAAAACAGAGATTATAGCATTGTAATTATGCAACACTATTCATAGCAGAGCCAAAGGGCATGGCTGGACCTCAGGAGAAGGGGTATAATCCTTACAAATGAAAGATAATTTCAAGAGGAAAGTGGATTTTTTTTTTTTTTTTTTCTGAGGCAGAGTTTAGCTCTTGTCCCCTAGGCTGGAGTGCAATGGCACAATCCTGGCTCACTGCAATCTCCACCTCCCCGGTTCAAGCAATTTTCCTGCCTTAGCCTCCCGAGTAGCTGGGATTACAGGCGCCCACCACCACGCCCAGCTGATTTTTTGTATTTTTAATAGAGACAGGGTTTCATCATGTTGGCCAGGCTGGTCTTGAACTCCTAACCTCAAGTGATCCACTCTCCTCGGCCTCCCAAAGTGCTGGGATTACAGGTGTGAGCCACTGCACCCAGCAGAAAGTGGATTTCATTTTTAACAACATGGAAGACTTCAATGTGTTTCAGCAATTTAAAATCCAAGGAGAGCAAAACACAAAGACATGGTGTCTCCATAAAATATATTGAAATATACCAAAATTTGGGGCAACTGAGAGAATGTCAAAGAGAGAATCTCATCTTCACTCTTGATACATTTTTCCTCAAAGGTGACAGGTTTAATGCTGTAGCGCTAGACCAGAGACTGAGGAGATTAAAATGGAAGGAAACCACAACCCCAAATCTAAGCTGAAAATTACTACCACAAAGGTAGAAGCCATTTGGTTCAAGGGTGCTCTGAGTCTGGCATAAACACACACAAAGACAGGAGAGTGTCTAAGTGCACTGATTAATTGTGGGACTACTCTCTCTTCTCTGCCCCAACCACCACTTTGGGGTAAGGAGCTCACAGCCTTACCCTTCCTTCCCCATAGAGCAGTGAATGTGAGCAACTGGGTTGAAAGGAGGGGCTCCAGGTACCCTCTCATCTCCCGGAGGGGAAAAGGAGGGGCTCTAGGTATCCTCTCATCTCCCGGAGGGGAAAAGGAGGGGCTCCAGGTATCCTCTCATCTCCCAGAGGGGAAAAGGAGGGGCTCCAGGTATCCTCTCATCTCCCTGAGGGGAAAAGGAGGGGCTCTAGGTATCCTCTCATCTCCCTGAGGGGAAAAGGAGGGGCTCCAGGTATCCTCTCATCTCTTGGAGGGAGGGTATTACCACACACTACCAGCATCTCCACCTGGCAGCCCATTTATTCTCCTCCAGGATCACCAGTTGCAAGCTACAGAAAATATAAACAGCTGGCAGATGAACAGAGAATCACATTAGCAAAGTTCAGCATGCAATCAAGGTGACATCCAACTTAAACTGAGTAACTATAACCTAGGGAAGTAGAGATAATAGAGTAAATTTTAAAAAAGAATTAGAAAGAAATATTAATATCTTTACAGCAATGAGAGAGGGTATTATATCCATAAAACAAAAGCAACTGATGTCTTAGGTCAGGTTGTCCAGGACACATACTCTGAGACTGAGGTTAGCATACTGGAGGGTGACTTTGGAGTATGCTTGAGATCCATACTTGAGGTAAGCAGGGCTGAGCAGAGGAAGAAGTTGAGATGATGCAATGTAGTCTAAACAGAGGCCTCAGACAACTTCATGGAGAGCTCTGAAGCTGTATTCAGGCATCAGCCATCAGTTGTGTGATTGGACAACTGGAGCACCTTGGTCCTGGAGTGTGGGGGTATGCACACAGTGCCCACTACAGGTAATTAGAAAAAAGTGTCAATGAGAAAATTGAGAAATCTAAATTATGATTATCAAAAATTTAAAAGCCACTAAACTGTATAAATAGAAATAGCAGATGAGGCTAAAGACTGAATTAATGAATTGGAAGACAGAGCCAGAAGATTGTCCCAGAGGGCAGTACAAAGACTCATAGGAATAGAAACAATGAGAGAAAAGTTAAATGACATGAATGAGAATATTGGAAGGCTCAGGAGATAAAAAAATCATCGATAAAAAAGCAGAATACTATTATACAATCAAAGAAATAATAGAAGAATTAGGAAAGAGAGTTAAGTAAACAAAAGTTATAAAAACCTTTCAGAGGAGGGAGTTAATAGGTACTGTCTGAGGTTGATCAAACAAAATAGTATCAACAGTTAGAAGCATGGCATGAATTACCAAAAAATTCAAAAAAGAAGAAACTGATTGTGTTGACCTCTAAGGACTAACTAGGACTGTGAATGTATATATTTATTATGTAGCTATAAATTAGTAAATATTTACTAATAGTCTTTATTAATAATAGTAAGTGGACAGATATTTATTTAAAACATTTTGAAGACGAAGTAAAGAATATTGATACTTTGACCTGTCATGCAATTGATTAATAACCATTACAAGTGCATAGTGGTTAGCATTCATGTTGACTCCGTTTATTGAGCATTCAGTCATGCTAGGCCCTGTCTGAGAGAAGTATCATTATCCTAACATCCCTGTTTTGTAGGCTCAGAGAAAAATACAATAATTTGTCCAAAGTCACCTGGATATTAAGAAGTAGAGCTAGGATTTTCACATCTGTAGACTTCAAAGCATGGGCATTTAAATATTCTGTAAATTTTGCTATCATCAGACTGTTGAGTCAATCTTCTTATCAGGATTTATTGTAATATTGGAGGCATTCCTTGAGATACTGATTAATACTATTTCTTTGTGTTGATCTTTAGGCACTGGGTGGTAGACAATGGATATAGATCTAAAAAGTCTTGATAAATCTACCCAGCAAAACTCTAACCAGGAGGACATATCCGGTTAATAGGTGACTTAGAAGTCCATGGAGATATATTTTTGTTTATAAGTAAGGTGGAATGGCTGAAGCAAAGGGATACTGGTGCAGAGAATAAATTTTGCATTTGTGGGTGGATGTTCTTCAATGGACAATAATATAATGATTAAGACATGGTGACACATTGGAGATGAATGTAAGGTAATAGTGTCACAGAATGTCAAACAAGTGGGGACTCACACCTTTTAGATCTTGAGTCTCTCCTTGACCTGGGGGTAACTGTTGCAGGTGATACTGTGTTGGATGCTAGGCTACAAGAAAGCCAAGCAAGTTGAGTGTTTGGTTGAGCAGGAAGACAAAAGCAAATTGCTAGTTTGAGAGCTTCCCCAGCTAGGGTGAACTTTGGTTCTACGTGCTCTCTACCGCACACATAACTAACACTTGAATTTCTCTAGTGCTCCTCAGCCTCTCAGTCAATGCATGACTTAGGCTCCCTTCATCTCTGACCTCAATGCAATAATTTCCTATCTGTTGATTATGAACTGAATGCCTGTTCTCCCCCAAAATTCACATGTTGAAGCCCTCACTCCCATGGTGATGGTATACACAGATGGGGCTTTGAGAAGTAATTAGGTTGAGATGAGGCCTTGAGGGTGCTGACCTCCTACTGGGATTAGTGCCATTATAAGGAGAGATACCTGAAAGCTCTCTCTTTCTCTTTATGCCATGTAAGGACATAATAAGGAGGCAGCAGTCTGCAGGCCAGGAAGTGAGCCCTCACCAGAAGTCAACCATGCCAGCACTCTGACCTCAGACTTCCAGCCTTCAGAAGTGTTAGAAAATAAATTTCTGCTGTTTAAGCCACCCAGTTCATGGAATTCTGTTATGGCAGAATGAGCAGACTAAGGCACTATTCTTCCCACATGCGTTTTTGTCTCCCCATTAATTCATTCAGTATTTAGTAGGATGACCTTTAACACAACAGCTGACCACAACAATCAGTTGCTTAAAACATTTCAGTTTTAAAATCCAAAGCTTATTAGGCCTCTCCATCATTCTTAATATATCCAAATTCTGTGATGTGACTCTCAAGGGCTTCCAAATATTGGCTTTTGCCCACTGCTCATAGATTTAATTTTGATACTCTCAGACTTCAGCCAAGTAGACTTTTTAAGTTTCCTCCCACACTGTAATTTCTCCACGGTTGTCCAATTGTTTGGCTTCCCTGGGCCACGCTGGAAGAAGAATAATTGTCTGTGCTCATAATATTTTAAGAAAGTTCACAATTTTGTGTTGGACTGCATTCAAAGCCATCCTGGGCCACATGCGACCTGTGGGTCACGGGTTGGACAAGCTTGCTGTGGACCTTCATACGTTAACTGTTTTTGCTTAGAATCCTTCCTCATTACCAACCTACTTCATTTCTTTTTTCTGTCCTGGATAACACCTCCTCACTCACCCTTCAGGTCTCAAATCAACAGAACTTCCCCAGGAGGCTTTTCCTGACTTACAGATGATGTTAGCATCGCTGTCTCCATATAGTTCTTCAATCTTCTGTCCTTCTCCCAATATTATACTCCTCACTTGTTTTTATGGCCATTTAAAATCTGTCTTCTGAGCTAGAATGGAAGTGCCAAAAGGGGGCAAGCCATGTTTCTCTTGTTCATCATTGTACTCTTCCTTTCTCCCTTTTAAACTCACATTTAAGGTATTCAGTGCATGTTGAATTAGTGAATGATCAAGTGAAGGAATGCCCTCTCACAGCAGCCCTCTGTGTCATTCTGCTTGTTCCAGGGCTGACCCTGGTGGCTCTAAATTGCAGGTGTCTGCCTGCTGCCCAGATCTCATTATCCCTGGTACAGTGGCTTCCTGGAGCTGAGGCAACTGTCTATGCCCCTAGAGCTGTTTGAAGACTGGAGGCAAACCAGCATGAGCCTGATTCTAACACAAGAAAAGGGAATCGATTTGTCAAACTATAGATCAAGGAATTTGGTGCTGATTAGGAGCAGAAATTTGAAGCAAATTACTAAATGTATTATTAAAGGCACAGGGCCCATTTAGAATCCAATAAAGTTAAAAATCTATATAAATTAATAATTATGAGCACTTAGGAAGGAGGTGATCAACCTGAGTCATCATTGATTAAAAATACGACAGGCCATTATTGCAGTTGGGGATTTCATGGTGACACTTTGCATGGTGACACTTTGATAGAGTCTCAATCCTCCTATTTTGGAGTTTTGTACACACAAGGAAAGATAAAGATAGGAGAAACACAAGATCAAAGTATTTAAATCTGAGAAACTGCCCCAAATACCTCTCTATCCATTAACAATGCAAAGCTTTCTTATAAAAACACTGTGGGGGAATGAAGCTTAGACTTGAGGCTTAAGTGATTTTGATTTTCCAGCCATCTGTCCCTACCCTGTTCTCTTTTCCTCCACTTAGCCTGAAGCCAAGATGGATGGTTCTACAGAGGAGGTCCTGAATCCATCTCCCTAGCCACTTGAGAAGTGGATAAGGCTGACCTATCTGCACAAAGACTGTTGCCCAGGTTGGTTTACCGGAAGTGCAAGTCAAGGGACTGCACTTGGATTCTGTTCCTTGTTATAAAATGGCGCTCCTCTCTGCTAAAGCATGACCTAGTGATTGAATGGCCCAAGTTGTGACCAGGAGCTGAGAAGGGACAGTGGTAACCACTCTTTCTCTCCATTATGGGTGGAGACAGACATGTTAAAAGAGGGAGTGGATGTTGCTCCTCTGTTTTTTGAATCTGTTAATATGACTTGTCCGTTGAAGACCTGTTATAGATAACAATAACTAACATTCAATGAATGTTTCGATGTATGTGTCAGGCCCCATTCTAAGAATTTTTCATGAATTAACTCATTTAATCTTCATTCAACTGTATCTGGTAGGTATGGTTTCAGTCTCAGGAGTTAAGGGTAATGCAGCCAGTAGATGGTAATGCTAGGATTATACTCAACAACCAGGTCCAAAGATGCAGCCCACATACATGGCACCACCGTATATTCCACTCTATTGCATCCACTGCTGACCACCAGCAGAGCCCAGGGGAAAGGCGGGTTCCTTTAAAACACTTGACAATACTTCTAAGATGTCTTTATGAATAGAACAGAAAATTGAAGTTTGGCAATTGCACTGTTAAGTGGGTTATTAATAACCAGTGAACCAAAGAATGCTATTCTCCCAGCTTAGTAGAGGGAGCTCCTTAGCGGGATGTCATCTGGCATCTTTGTATTTTTATGTAATCTGTCGATATGGGGAGATAGTGGATGCCTGAGTCAAATCCTAAGGGATTAGAGAAAGTGGATGAGGGAATTTAGTTCCAAAGATCAACTCCATGTTCATAGACATGGCCTAACTGTAACACCATAAAGAATTTCCAGTCTTCCTTTTGCACTTCTATCAACATTGAGATGTATTTGAGAAAAGAGAGACAGAGAGAGAAAGAAAGAGGAGGGGGAGGGAGAGAGAGAGAGAGAGAGGGAGAGAGAGAGAGAGAGAGAGAGAGATCTCAGACTGTATTGTGTTTGCTAATGGTTAATTAGGTAATTAATCTATAGGACAATTACTTATTATTTTTTAAGGGCAGAGACGATACCCTTCCGGAATAAGATGGCTCAGATGAGAGAGATTTGAAGCCATATCACATGAAGAAGGGTCAGAGTAATTGAGAATGATTAATCCTCAAAAGAGAGTGTTTAAGTAGAATTTGAAGGCCATCTTCAAAGATCTGAAAGACTACCTCATGAAGTAAAGATGTGCAGACCTGGGACCAAAGGTTACAGGGAAGTGGTTTTGCATAATTGCTGTGCAAGGAATGAACAATTATGACAGCTAGTGTTTGCTGAGTGCTCACCACACATGCACTGAAGTTAAGGTCTTTACATGCCTTAGCTACAAGGTTGTAGATCAAATTCATACTTATCACTACAAGCGTCTGAGAGCATCGTTAGTAAAGGCTCCATTTACTGACTGCTTATTAAATTACCTCATTTAATAGTTGTGCTGTTGACTTTTGTTATTACATCATTACTGTTTTATAGATGAGGAAATACAGAAGTTACTTTCCTGCAATCACCCTGCTTTAGTTACTGACTTATAACCATCTGGACCCAGGCACTCTTGATACTAATACTGCCTCCCAGAGTCATGCATATAATAAGGAGTTAGTTAGTTCATTAGAAACATAATATGAGCCACTAATGAGAGTTTATGTGTAACCTTACATTTTCTAGTAGCCACATCAGAGAACGTAAAAAGAAACTGGTGAAATTAATCTTACATATGCTTATATCTTAACCCAATACATGATGAACCCAACTGACTTATTACATCAAACTACCTCATGTATTGCAATAATGTAATCAATACAAACATAATTAACAAGTTAGTTTACATTCATTTTTAAAAATATGAAATTGTATGTCTGTTTTACACTTACAGAATACCTCAGGGTTAGCCACATTTCAGTGCTCAACAGTTGCCAGTGGCTCTTGAGAGGGAGGATCTTAGAAAGGAGCTTAGCATTCCGCTTTGATTCTGATGCCTCTCTGCCCCCAACTTATCTCCTTTGCCAATGTAGGTATTTCTGAATTGGGTGAGGACAGGTGTTTCTACTGCAATCCTCTTCCCTCCTGCCAGCTAGGTTGGGAGTTAACGTGTTTGATTTCTGCTTTGAAAACGATGTAAGTAGGTTGCATGAATTAAGTAATTTATTCTAAATACCAAATTGGGGGTAGAACGTCCTGCCTTATGCAAAGTTATGCAAAATTAGGAAGTTTCTGGCTTAATTGGTTAGAAATACATCTTGTAGTTTAAATTGCAGGGTTAGTAAATACGTAGATGTCGACGGAGACGGAGGAAACGTTTTGTTATTTTTGCCACTGTCCAAGGGTAGAGGCACAGCGTCAAAACAAACACGTCTTAAAGTAGCATTCAAACAGCCCCCCGAAGTTTCCCCTTAATATCCGGAATCGGTTGCCAAAAATGAAGAAAAAAGATGTAAGGAGATGCTACTGGCTTTTGGCCTCCCGGAGGTGGCGCTATGAGGGTGACGGAGTTAATTGGTGCCTCCAAACGCCGCGTGTGAGCTCATCGAAGTCATGCTCTGCACACATATTATTTATAGCAGATCTGAGGCATGCATGGTGTTTGACATTTCTGTCTTTTTAAGTAGGGGGACTTCAAAAAGTCGTGGGTATCCCCCCCGGCAAAGTGCAGTGGGCAGGGACCAGGGTGCAGGCGCAAGGCGAACGCGCAGACCACGAGTGTCCTGGCGCAGGTGCCGGGGGCGGCGGCTGCAACTCCGCAGCGTCCGCTCGGGAGGAGAGTTCGCGGCTGATCTCCCGATCCCTTGCAGATGCAAAATGTGTCTCTGGCCAGCAGGAGGAAGGAAGAGGAAGTGAGAGCAGCGGCAGCCGGCGGTGCAGCAGCCGGCCGACCCGGAGTGTAAGTGCGTGTGCTGGGGCGAGCGGGAGCGGGCGAGGATGGGCACAGGATAGAGGCAGAGCCACCCACGCCGCCGCGGCCCCACGTTGGGCGACAGAGCCTCCAGTTCCCCTCCAGTGGTCGCGGGTCGCCGGAGCTCTGATCTCCAGGAACCCTTGCCACCGCTGTCCTGAGACCCCGGCAGGTTCGTAAAGTTTCCTGGGCTGGCGCCGCGCCCCGACTGGCTGACCTCAGCGCAGCTGGGGAGGGGACCGGGACTGGGGCCGGGAGGAGGTGTCCTGCTCCGGGGGACTCCGGGCGCCGCGGAGACACTTTTGTTTCCTCCCTGGGGACGCCGCTCTCGGCGGGGCGAGGGCTGCGGGCGCGTCGGGGCGCTCTGCAGTTGGGAAGTCTGAGCTCGGGGGGCGGCGGGAGTGGGAGTGGGAGCGGAGGGAGGGGGCGCTGGAGGTGCGGCGCCCGGGGATGAAGCGCAGGGCCCGGGCCCGGGAGCCCGCGAGACGTTTCGACCGGGGTCTGCGGGAGGGGGGCGCCGGAGGGTTGCGACGCTGGCGCGGGGGTGTTGGGGAGCGGGAATGTGTGGGGCTGGGATCTTGGAGTCAAGATTCCTGTAGAGCCAGTGAAGCGGCTGGCGGCTCGGACTCGGCGTCTTCTCCTGCACTCGGGGATGGGAGGGAATCCCCCAGCGAGCGCGCTCGTGGGAGGGGGCGGTGATGGGCCGGAGGGAGGGGGGCTGGGAGGGCGGGAGAGGGCGGTCTGGGCAGCACGGATACCCGGGGGCTTTGGTTAGTAAATACTCTCCTCCCGGGGACACGCCGGGGTCCCCGCCGAGACCGGGAGAGGCGGCGAGGGGCTTTGTGGAGCTTCGTGGAAATCTCGGCTCTCGGAGAGGGGACGCACCGGGCGCGCCTTCACAGAAGGGGGCGGCGGCAAGCCGGGGGCCCGGAATTCCGAGCGCAGAGTGGCTACCGCGATCGCCGGAGTCGCTTTGAGGAAGAGGAAATACAGAACTCAGCTGTCTCGGGGCGGGGAGGGGGGGTGCGTGCGTGTGGTTGGGGTTGGGAAGTAGGTGCTGTGCCGCGAGCGCGCGCGAGGCGGCGTGTGTGTGTGTGTGTCTCGGGGTGTGTGTGTGTGTGTCTCGGGGTGTGTGTGTGTGTGTGTGTGTGACCGCACAGCCAGGAACTCCCCGCCCAGTGACCCTCTCCAGCCTGGAGGGCCATTTGAAGTTGGAGGAGGGGCGGGACCTACCTTAACTTAAAGGACAAGCCAGCCTCAGGCTTGGTTCCAGACAGTGACCCAGCTCTGAGAGCCCCTGGACGGCTCCGGAGACTCACTGAACATATTTGGAGTATCCCTCCCGCTGGACCATGAGCCTCCCAACACCGATGCCCATGAATGATTTGGGCCTAATTCGTTATGGTTAAGCTTTCAGATAACCTAAGACAGGGGCTGGGGCCCCCAGAGGCGGAGGCTCCCCGTTGGGCGCTGCCAGTGACTTGGGGATGAGGCTGTGAAAGAATATCTGAGTCTTTCTCTTTTGCTTCTATAAAAGTAATTAATGACCTGTATTTAAATACCAAAACCCTGCGAGCAACTTTGGGACATAGAGAGATCTAATCCTTCTCAGGGTCACTTTGAGATTGCAGACTGGCAGCAGCTGTTATTGGGACCTCCTCTGGCCAGGGTTCTCGTATTATCTCACCTCCATGCCTACTTTTCCAAGGTTGTTTCAAAGATTATTGTCCCCCAATTTACAGATCTGGGGGAAAATAATGGTAAGTTAGGAGGCCAGATCCCCTGCAGGCACATAGCAGAATTTTAATTTTTCTTATAACTGACTTTTTTAACCTTTACTCTTTACCATTGTACATTCCCTGTCCCTAAGGCTGTGATTAAATGAGCGTGCTGCCTTTTTTTCTACTCTGTTTTGTTCGTTTTTAATTAGATTGGTAAATTGTGAGGGAATGGCCTGGACTGCTGGGACTCTTGAGGAGGGGTTATGTCAGGAGGGTAGTGAACTGGGGAACAAGATGGATGGTAGGTATCAGGGAGGGGCGGGCTGGGAGGCAGACCTGGATTGGAATCTGGGGGATCTTGCCTGGAGCAGTCATTGGGCAAGAAGATGGGCAGTTCTAATGATGGCCGTGTTTACTGTCCTTGGTAACTGCAGCCACCCTCACTGCCTTACATTCTTCTTTTTCACTGAGTTCTGTCCCCAGGGCCTTTGCACATGATATTACAGGAGGAGCTTTTCTCCTATATGTCCAGATGGCTTACTTCCCATGCTTCCTTCAGGTCTTAGCCCAGTTGTCAGCTTATAGGGGGCCTTCCTTTAAATAGCAACCAGACACTCCCTGGGCCTCTTACGTTACTGCTTTTTGTCTTAGTACCTTTTACTCCCTGATGTTATACAGTCATTTGTGTATTTGAGTATTGTCTCTCTCCCTGTTAGAGCAGAAGTTCCATGAGGGTAGTGACTACCTTGTCTTGTTTACAGCTCCAGAAACTAGATGGATTCTTAGCCTGACATCGGTGCTCAATAAGTGTTTGTAGACTGACTGAGAGGTGGCTATATTGGGAGAGGTCCACCAGGAAATTATACCAGGAAAATGTTGCAGCATTAGTGCAAATGAGAAGCCCAAGTAATGGGTTTTGTTTTTTTCCCGGCCTCTTCCCTATGCCAGGCCACTGTTCATTTAGACCCTGTTCTGCCTTGAGTAGATTCCTCCCTTAGAATTTCAGCCTGAAGAAAGGAACAGAGGTGATTCCTTGGGAGATTAGACAACCAGTATACTTAGTAACACAACCATTCCAGATCTGGTGTTTCATCCCTCTCCTTGGATAAGGTCTTTTAAAGAAGTCTGTGTTGCTTTAGCCTAGGAGGAAGGGCATTATTATAAGGGGAGTGAAGTCAGAGGTGTCTGCTGTAACTCATTCTGCCCTCCTGCAATATGGAAGCTAAGAAAGGAGGCTGTAAGGGAGGGGAGATGAGAAATGCCTAGGAGAAGGAAAATGAAAGTGAGAAAACAGAGGAAGGTTTTCTGCAAGTGCAGCTAAGTCTTGAACATTTACTAAATTACTGTATTGAAAACAAAACAGTACTTGAGTGTTTCAAAGTAATTTACCCCCTTTGGGTGTTTGGTGTGAGTGGGTGGGGAGTGTGGGGAAAGGGAGGGCTTTGAAGCCTTTGCCAGAGGATGTGGCCTGGGGCTAAGCAAGGAGCTCTCCTGATCACACACTTTGCTTACTTCATCATCTTGCCTAATGCTCAAGGGTTAAAGGTGGTTGTTCTTATGGAGGTAACATTTCCCTTCCAGATGTAAGACAGTAGATACCATTATAGTTTGTAACTCAAGCTTGTAACCACTTTTTAGTGCCTGAAACCGTCCAAGTAGATAGTTTGGTTTATAAGATATTCTGTTAAATTTGGAAAATGTGGATTAATAAACCCTCTCTGCATCACAAAGCCTGAAGTGTTTGCTACTAATTGTGCAACTCTAGTTCTGGTTCCTTCTAGTCAACCAGAGAAGTGTTTTTTAAACTTAGGATTGTAACCCATGAGAGGATCATGGTATCATTTTAGTAGGTCAAGACCAGCTGTTTAAAACATGAAAGAGAAGAGTGGTGTGGAAAACGGTATTTCCCAAAGCAGACACCCAGTCTTAATGTCAAAGTATTGCTCAATGTGGGTAACGATTTTTAAAAGTCTGCTTTAATAACTCTGGGGGGAAACTACATTTTTAATCAACTTGCCAGGGATTCTGATGAAGATGTTCTAGAAGGATATACTTTTATGGAATACTTAGCTGTCTTCTTTTAACAAAATGCTGTTGCTTTAATCCCCTGCAAGAGATGCTCTTTCCAAATGTTGAGCCAGATGCAGTGCTGTCAGCTATTGACTTAACTTTAAAAAATGCTATGGTTTTAGAACTTGCCAGTGTGCTAAGCCCCGATGCTACCATCTTGGAGGAACCAGAAACTCAAGTGACATGCTTTTCACTTTAGTGATGCAGAGAGGCAGCAGATCGCTTTGCAATAGCTCTTTAACCTTACTTAGAATAATAAAATCGACAGGATATCCCCTTTTCTCACCAAGTTTTAGATTAGAACTTTTGTGGTCTTTGGAATTTGACTTTGCTCAACTTCTCCTTTCATATTTTACATCTAGTGTTCCCCATATGAATGATTCTAATTACAAAGACAGTTGTAATCTCTTCTGGTGGCAGCCACTCTGCTGAGATGCATGATTAGATGAAGCATTTTACCTGACCTGGGCTTGGATTTGGCTACCCAAAGAAGAAAGTCAAAGGCTCACAGAGTGAGACCATATCTCTCCAAAAGTTAAAAAATTAGCTGGGTATGATGGCATGCACCTGTAGTCCCAGCTACTTGGTAGGCTGAGGCAAGGAAATGGCTTGAGTCCAGGAGTCTGAGGCTGCATCGAGCTGTGATTGCACCACTGCGCTCCAGGTTGGGTGACAGAGAGACTCCATCTCTTAAAAAAAAAAAAAGTCCTTGAGAATTTCTGCACTGCCCATAATAGAAGGATCATGAAGGCCAGTTATTCCACAGGGTGTGGCTCCCAAGATCATGTGTGTGGCCCATGAAAGCCTTCCAGTATGCCAGCACAGCGTTTTTAGGTTCAGCAAAGCCAGCCTGCATGTACAATGCACACACTGGTTGCGATGCTCAGTTTCCTGGATAATTTGGGTTATCCCATTGTTAACAATCAGAACTTATCTATATTAGCCAGAACTAAAGCCTGCAAAGCCGTATCATGACTCCTGATTACATTAACTACTCGTGTCTTAGCACTATGTTTTCTAACCTTTTACAATATAAGTGCAGGTACAGTATGAGCAGAATTTTGTCACTGTTCTGAGTATCAGATAGGAATACGTGTGGGAGAAGGAATGCTAGCTCATCAAACAGAATTAACTACAGTAACAAACTGGCATAGTGCTGAGTTGAGAAATTAGTCACATGTATAAATAGAAGGAGATGATTCTCAATGTTCCGGGCCCCCACAAACACTGATTTCCAGAATCTGAACAGAAGTATTATTGGAACTTCAATTTTAGGAATTGAGGCTACAGTTTTGACTGTTTTAGTTCTAACAGTTAAGGTAGGAAACGAAACTTTCCTCAGTAGAAAACACTGGAAAGGCACAACTTGCTAGACTATGGGACTGTGATGTATTTAGTGGGTTGTACTTTGGTAAGGAACAGTAGTTTGAGGGAATTATAATCAGGTAAGCCCTATAAAGAATTCTCTCCATGGAGTTGGAGTCATAGGATCAATGCAACATTTTTCTCTATGGCCTGAAGCACCCTTCCTCTGGGGATGCTGTTTTGGAAATGACAGGGAACAATCAGAATAGTATTATTATCCCATTTTATAGATGTGGCTTGGAGGAACGAAATGTCACAAGGATACCTAGAGAGTACATCTGAGCCTTAAACTCAGCTTTTCTTACTCATTTTACTGTGGTGTTTCTTTCTCTTGCACCATGATGTCTGCGCTAGTTAGTTCCTTCTTTTGCTGGTTCCCTGGACTTGCCAGCCTCTGAGGCCGGGATCCCGCTTGGAGCTATGCTGCAGTGGTGTCCAGGGAGGCTCTTCACTCCTGTATGTCCTGCATATGGATGTGCTCTGGGTTGCCATGGTATCTAGGGATGTCTCTGCTGCCACTGAGTCCTGGTACTTCAGAGTCAATTCCTCCCTTTGTATATCTCATTCTAAAATTGGCCTTAGTTTTGAGCATCAGTGGATTCTTCTCTCAGGGACACTATGCCCATCAACCAACCTCATGATATTGAAGCATAATGAGCCAGAATGCAATTTATTAATCAAAAATGAGAACAATGTTTGCCAGGAAGAATGGGCATCTATTCCTTAGCCAACATTTTTCCTCTGTGGATGAGTCATGGTGAAGGCAAAAGAATGAACCAACTGGGAGGGCAATATACTCGACAGTGTTTTCCAGCTCATCATAACTTTTGCTAAATCTCTTGTTGATAGATTTATACCAACTAAGGGAGCCAGAGGCTGGAGTCCTTTAGCCAGGATGGTTTCTCCCTTGGGCAATGCTGAGGCTGCTTGTGCAGTTCTTTTTCCACTTGCAGGCTGTTGGCCATTTTGCTGATTTCATTTTACTGATTTCAGGCAGTGACAGCCTCAGTGCTGTTGACATTTCGGGCTGGAGAATCCTTTGTTGTAGGGGCTGTCCTGTGTACTGTTGAATGTTTACCGCCTTCTCTAGCCTCTGTTCACTAATGCCAGTAGCATCACTTGTTGGTGACAACCCCAGATGTCTCCAGGTATTGCAGATTGTTTTGTTAGCTCTCTTCTCCCCAGCTGAGAACTGCTGCTTTGTCTTCCTAAGTGGGACCAGTTGTGTGTTATCAGATAGTGTAGACGTTCAACAGCAGTTATAAGTGCCCTAGTTTTCTATTTACTAGTTATTCCTTAGAGTCTAAGTTGGTGTATTAACGGATGAGCGGGCTCACCCTTTATGTTCATGTCTTTCCTCCAGCTCTCCAAGTTTCCTTTCTAGCTCTCTTCTCTCCTATATTGCAGTTGTCTCCCTAACCAAATGTTTTTCAAGTTTCCATTGCATGTATGTTTCTTCCTCGTTCCTGTGGCTGAAAAACATTGTAACTAGTGAGTTTTTGTCTCAGTTTCCTGACAAGGTTTTGCATTCTGACCACTGGTTACCTAATGGGAATAAGATAAATGAAATGAGGAAGGTGGGTAGCAAAGCTTAGCTTGGCTCTTTCAGAGGCCTCTGTCACAAGATAAAGGAAACGTCTGTGTGGCAATGAGTTAAGCGAGCTGAGTGCCTCCTCCTTTGCTTGTCAAATCCACCTTGACTAGTTGGATAATAATGGATATTGATACTCCATTAGTGTGACCAGGACATGGTAGAGGTCAGGGAGAAGACTTCAAGGTACAGCTTTATGAGACATCCTTTCCCTCTTTGTCCGTTAGGTTTCTGTTCTAATCCTGCCACGCTAATTTTCTTATGTAATTATCTGTCAGCCTTTTATTTACCTTCTCTGCTTGGTTGCTGTCGTAGTCCAGAACACCATCAAGTGGCTCAAGTGCTGTAGAAATATTGCTGGGTTGTAGACTAGCTACGTCTCCCCAAGGCAGCCGCCTTCTTACATGTCACCAGCCCTATAGCAACCCTCCACCCTTCCTTCCGCCCTTTGTGCCTTTTTTTTTTTTTTTTTTTTTTTTTTTCAGTTCAGGATTGCATTTAGAGAACCAGAGTTTTGTGCTGTGGGGTTCCAGTGGCAGAGCTGGATGAGCTGGATTTTCCAGGCTGCTTCACACAATTACCCTTAATTTTGAAGAGTAATGCATTTTAAAATAATTTTTTTCTGTGTTGGCCTCTTTAACCCAAATGCATAACCACAGCTGGCTTTACCCTTGGCCCTGAAAGCATGTGGCTTGGGAGGTAGAGCTAGTTAAGGAGTTTGGTCAGATTGCGCATTTTTGGTGGAGTGAGGAGTGTATTCCAATAACACTCAGTAAGGCTGGTTTTTACTTGAGTCCTGTCCATACCCCCAGCCCGCCCCACCCCACAGTTTCCTAGATTTTTTTTATAGTGGACTTGTACCTCAGTTATTCCAATTGTGTGTCACTCTGGAAGTGACCGTTACTCAAGAATTTTGATTTGGGGGAATGAGACTGAATCTTTGCTATATTAAATAATAAATGTTCTGTACATATGCGTGTGTGTGAGACACACACACACACACACACACACACACACACACACATCCATGCAGCTCTCCTAATAGTGAAAGGTCTTTAGAAGCTGCTAAATCTCGTTTTCTCCAGTGCTGTCACTTTTACAGTAAGTCAGCATAAATCACATGAAATCAGAAATTTTGTCAAGGAATGAATATGTTTCCATCATCTCTAAGCCTACTCCACTGCCAGGAAGTGACTTTGACTCATTAAAACCGCTTTCTCAATTATTGTCCATTCTCCAACTGAAGGATTTTGAGAAACATTTGCTTGGGTTTATATGAGAGGAGCATAGTAAAGCTTTATTTATTAATTGTAGTATATTTTAAAAAGAAATGATGGGCTTATCCTTAAAATGTATATAACTATTTTCAAATTAAACTATTACTGGGCTTATAGCACCGATCATAATGCTTCATTCAGTCATTCAGTCAGTCAACAACCATTTTGCTTGTGTTTTTTTTTTTTTTTTTTTTTTTTTTTTTTTTTTTTTTTTTTTTTTTT